GCGGCCGCCACCTGCCCCGTCACTCCCCCGGAGCGGGCCTGGCCTTTGCAGGCATTTGCGTGTGCTCTCCCCTGCGGTAGAGGGGGCATTTGTCACCCCAAGGCGTGAGGGCGCAGAACTGGCCCCGCGGGCCTGGCGGCTTCCTTGACTTGCCGGGACTTGGGTCGGGAGACCTGGGCGCGGACGCCCAGCGGCCTGGCTGGGGGCTGGAGGCGGGGGAGGGGCGCGCAGGCTTTTGCCAGCACCCCTGAGCTGCTCCAGGCGGCCCCTCAGTAACCTGAACACAACACCACTGGGTTAGGGCGTTACCGTGGCAACGTCAGCATCTGTGCAGCCCTGGGCCCCCAGCCTAGGCCGGATGGAGCTTAGCAAGGCTCCGAGGAGGCCAGAGCGGCCCCAGACGCCTGGGTGGGGTGTCCGAGCGGGGACGGGGTGGGGGAGGCGGGCAGGCCGGGGCTTCTCCTGGGCTCTTCGCTGGGCCGCAGGCAGCCCTGGAGTTGACTCCGGTTCCTGTGCAGAACCTGCCTTGTCCTCAGTGGGCCCTTTTCTGTCCTGGCCAGTGGGCCTCCAGTGGCTCGCGGAGGGGTCAGCACAGCCGGCCCGGCTCAGGCCAGTCAGGACGCCGTCCCCCTCGCCTGCTTCCCCCCCCTCCCAGCCTCAGGCCTGCCACACCCCAGGCTTCAGGACCATGTGAAGCCGTTGGGTGTACGGCAGCCTCTGGGGAAACCGAGGCGCAGAGAGCAGCCCACTGGTCCGGGCTGCACAGCCGCACGGGGGCTGAGGCTGCTGGGGGGGTCTCGGCGGGGCCCCTCCAGCCACCTGCTCCCACCAAGCCCTGGTACTGGAGGTGGGTGCGGCGGGCAGACCGCGGGGCCTGGGGAGGCCCAGGAGGCACAGCCGTGGGGGCAGGAGGGGCGTCTGGGCCCAGGGACCTGCAGCAGGCTCTGCGTGCTCCGCGGCGCCTCTGGGGCCGTCTCCTTGACGGTGTAGAGAAGGGTCCCTGGGACTTCTGGAAGCTTCCTCCGCCTTTTGGGGTCCAGGCTGGAGCACAGGCTGGAGGGCCCCCAGGCAAGGTGGCCTTGCGGGGCGGCTGGGTTCCCTTAGATAGACACTGGATTCTGGGACCTGACCTGGATCTTCTGGGTTTGTTTTTTTTTTGCAGGTGGGCAGGCGAGTGTGGAGGGCGGATGTGCCCGCCGCCGGCCAGCGCCCACGACAACGGCTGGGGCCAGCCAGGCGGGTGAGCCCAGGCCAGCTGGGGAGGGCAGCTCCCCGGCCAACCTGCTCCCCGGCGATGCCGGGGCCGGGGCCCCAGAGAACCCCGGGGTGGGTCCCCCCGCAGGTCAGCGGTGCCGCCTGTGGGCCTGGAGCCCCGGGCCCGTGCCAGCGGCGGGTGCAGAGACGACGGCTCCGCAGCCCCATCGTCTCCGCCCGACAGGCCGCCCCTTCAGACGCCCGTTTCCCCGGGGCCGAGCCTGCTCCTGGACAGCGGGGGGCGTTGAGGGCAGGCGCTGGCAGTGGGCTTCAGGCGTGCCCTCGGCCAGCTGAGGGCCCTCACGCCCACGCTGGGCAGGTGCTGTCTCAGTCCCGTAGGGCTGGGAACCCATTTTGTGAGCAGCTCACGCTCCCTCGTGGGGAAGGGGCCACACGCACAGGCCACGGCGGCCGCTCCCACGTCAGCCGCAGACGACCGCGGCCGGACACCCCAGCGTGTGCCCGCGGGCAGCAGAGTGCGCGCAGCCTCGTCCGCCTGCTCACGCCTCCCTCTCTCCTGTCCTCCCTCAGCCTGTCGCCTCGAGCGCCAGGGCCGAGCCTCCTCTGGGCCCGCGGGCCTCGGGTGCGGTCCCGGCCAGCAGGTGGCTTCCCGGGACACCGGTCACCCGCGGGCCCCTGTAAGGCGGCCTGGTGAATGTATGGTGGCCCCAGCGCCAGCCCGCCCAGACGCAGCCACGTCAGGAGATAGCGAACCTCCAGGCCACCTGTCACCACAAAACCGCCGAGGGGCGCCACGGCCAGCGAGCGGGGTGCGCACCGCCCTGCGGGCCGCCCCTCCCCAGCGCCGGCAGCACCCCGCACCCCGTTTCGGGCGCAGCATCCCGCGCCGTCCGTCCGCCCAGCCCTGGGCCCCGCTAGTGGCCCTGTCCCCGGCAGGGGCGGAGTGGGCCGCCGGGCCAGGCCTGGAGCCGCAGGGTGCTTCTGGCAGCAGCCCTTGCCCAGAGCAGGCAGGACGGCCGGGCCCGCCCTTCACCCCAGCGACACAGGCTGGCCCTGAGCTGCCGGGAAAGCCCTTGGGGGTCTGTCTGAGAGGCTTCCCGGGGCCCTGGCCCCACGCGGGCACTGGCACCGCAGCCACCTCCGGGGGGCCGTGACTGCCCAGGGAGGGCCGCGCCCGGCTGCGGGAGGGACTGGGCGGCGCCTAATAAACGTGGCGGCTCCAGTCGCGAAGGCCGTTTCTTTGCTTCGGGGGGCGCCCCAGCACCCCCCCCACGCACCCACCAGGCCTGCCGCTGCTGGGGATGCTGCCGCCCCCCACCCCAGACCAGGTCGGGTCCCTCCGGCTGCCGTGTGGCCTGGTGCTCCCGGTCGGGCTCTCCCCACCTGGACTCAGGCCGGCGCCCCGTGGCCCAGGGAGCAGCCTGGTCAGCCTGCGAGGCCCTCGGGTGCTGCGGGCAGAGGGAGGACACTTAGGCCCTGACGGGGTGATTGGAGCACGGGGCCTCCTGTCTCCCCTCACACCACCCCGCAGTGCTCGGCGCCTGGCACCCCAGGGCCCTGGGGCTGTGAGCAGCAGGTGTCGGCGCGGGTCAGGAGTATGGACAGTGGGTCAGGCCGCCCCGCGGGGCTCAGCAGCACCCCAGGACGCTGCCAAGAGACAGCAGCGGCTCCCCCCACCATTAGAACGCCCGCCCCTGCGAGGCGCTTCTACCCGGCTGCTCCCGGGGTGCCGCCAGCCGCTCTGCCTGCGGGTGTCCCCGCCTGCCGTGCCCCTGCCACTCGCTCGCTGGGCGCGGCGGGGGCCCCACGAGCGGGGTCTTCCATGGCGTTTCCCTGGCCAGAGTGTCGTGACTTGGGGCTCTCAGTTTGCTTGTGTTTCTGTCTCCCTCCCCGAGGGGTCAGGGCTCCGCAGACACCTCGGGCTGAGGCCCGGCTGCGTGGCCCGGACACAGGCTAAAGCTGGACCCCACCTGGACACGGCGTGCAGACGAGGTGCAGGCGCGCCTGCCCGCGGCTCTCCCGGCAGCGGGGCTGCGGCGAGCGGCCTTGGTCCTGGGCTGCGGCCGGCCCGGGCCGGCGACATGCGGCCCGACTGCCCTTTTTCCCGGATTTGCTGGCCCTGCTCGAGGCCTCCCTCGGTTTCCGTGAGGATCTCATTCGTTTCTCTCCGGCGTCTCTGAGAACTGCCGGGGCCGCGCGGACACGTCCTCCCAGCAGCTGGGCGCCAGGTCGTGGCCCTCAGGGGCTAACTCTGGGCAGCTGTAAATGGGCCTCTCGATTCTTCCTGCTTCTGGCCTGTATGTAAAAATGCTCCTGCTGACTCTGTAGCCTGCTGCTTTGCTTCACTTTAGAAGCGCTTTCTTGCTTCCACTGATTTTTTCTTTTGGTTTTGACCTCTAGGGTTGTCTGACTGTGATGCCATTGCCTGGAAGCAGTGGTGGCTGGCTTCCTTCCCTTGGCCTCGGAGGCCGCGTTCCTGCGTGTGTGGGAGAGCCCTGGCCACACCTCGGAGCCAGCAGCGGCGGCGTCCTCGTCTCACGCGGGATCTTGGGGGGCTTCCGGCCTCTCAGCTGCGCGTGTTAGCTGGCTGTTGGTTACGGCCTGTGATCTTTTTTGTGTTGAGTACTCAGCGCGCAGGGCTGGAGGGCATCCAGGCCGCCCGGACTCTCTTCCTCCTCTCTTGTTTAGTATTTTTATCGTTAGTGGGTGCTGGCTCCTACCACATTCTTCCAGCATCCAGTGAGAGTATGTGGCCTTTATCTTATCCTTTCTGCTG